AAAACAGTTTTTGTCTTTGATCTACCAAAGTTCTATTTCCAATAGAATTGAAATAATGAGCAATATCAAGTACTAGCAAAGATGAGGAGATGACAGCTTTCATACAAGGCTGGGGGAGTGTAAGTGATCTCAGTCCCTGGGGGAAGTAATTTGTTAACACAATCAAATTGAGGCTGGTTTTATCTTTGACCCAGTAAATCCAGTTCTGGGAATGGACATTGGAGAAGTTCCTGCAAGTGGACACAAGAAGTCCTGCAGAAGGATTCATGTGTCATTCATAGTTTGTGATTTCTGTGTACAATATGCCATCAGGCAGGAAAGCACAAAACAAAGGCTGTTATTGTGGTCGTCTCTCAAATAGCAGAGGACTAGAGATACAGGATAAAGATGAGACCAGCATTGACTGCAGTGTTTTATTTATTTCTATTGATGGACTTAAAATGTTTGCCAGTAAAATGTGTACGAAACTGTATTTTATTCCTTTTTTGCATTTTTCTGATTTTGTTTCCCTGGAAATGTTAAAAATGTTTTTATAATCTAAGCATTAATTTCTGTGTTTAAAAGCTGTGAGGAATATGATAACAATGTGATGGTATCTGGGTAATGATGGTTAGCTCCTTATTACCTACAGGAAGTCAACTATCTGACATCCTAGCTGAGTAACCTACCAGGTAAGCTCTTGAATTAACTGACTGACTACACTTCATTTTATACTTTGATGAGTACCAGAATTTAGCTGTGGTGTTAAGATAATACTTTTGGATAATGTTAAGTCATTACCAAATTATAGCACTTAAGATTTTGATGAGTTTTGGATAGTAATTAGCTAAATATAACTATTTCTTGGTTGGTTTAAGAGAAAGACAGTGAAACCATTTTATCCTTAAATTTTTATTTTCTTTTTAATATAGCAGAAGAAAGTAAATCCAGTTTATTTCATAGTTTGAATAGATTAAATAGGAATTTAAAAGACACCCAAGCCAAAACTCTTTTCAGAGCAAATCTGCCTGTAATCATTATTATCAGCTCCATTTTGTAGCAGTATTATAATACTGCTACAGCCAGATTATAGAGATAGAGCAGATATCTTGATTATTTATATCAAAATTTGTACACATACATATACACACACTAATCTCCCTATCATTAGCAAATATCTCAGGGTGTGTGTGTGTGTGTGTGTGTGTGTGTATGTGTAAATATGTGTTTTTTTGCTAACAGTAGTGAGATTAACAATGTTTGTTTTTAAAGAACATAATACTGCTGTAAAATTGAGCTGGTAAAAATGGTTACAAGTCAGATTCAATCTATATAGCTAGAAAAATGTTTATTGTTAATCAGAGTGGATTTAAATGCATATTTCAGCCTGTTAGTCCAAACTCAGCCTGACTTTAAGGTTCAATTTACGTTTTCAGGCTTCCCATATACAGACTCGCTGCTGCAGCCAAACTCTTTTCTTTTCTGCCTTTTTTTGTTCTTCACTGGCTTGAAACACTCTCTTGCCTTATTTGCTACCCTTATTTAAGCCGAATCCATTCTTTAAGGCCCCAAATCAAGTACTTACTCTTACTTTAAGCTTTTACAGACTAGTTAGCCCACGATCATCTGTCTTTTATGGCACTCAGTATCTTGGCCTTTCCTTGGTCAGTTGGTATTGCCTTGTGAACAACTCTTTGTAAGGGTGGTGCAATGGCACTGCTGTGGGTTAGGATCCCTGTACTAACATTTACCATCTGTCTAACCATCTGTGTTCTGTGGTAATCTCATCAAAATGTTGTTATGAATATTATGACAATCTCTGTAAAGCCCTTACCTGGAAAAGGAGGGGATTGAATAAAGTAGTGTTTCCCATAATGTGGTGCCATTTCAGCCATGCTGAATCAGAGACACTGGGAGTGGGCCCAGAAATGTGTATGTTAGCAGGAACACCAGTGGTTCTTAATGTATATTGAAGTTTGAGAACTTGGGATTAGAAGATCTCTAAGTCCCTTCCGATTGCTAAAATTTGATATTTTAAAACATCGTTGCTCTGATGATCATCTCACACTTGAAGGTAATGAAAGATTATACATGTATTTATGCTTTCTCTTTTGTGAGCTCAAATAAGGCCAGTGTTTTGAATTTGGACAATACATGTATGGGAGAACATAAGAATTGCAAGGACTTGATTTAAAAAGAAAATTTTTTTAAAAATCTGTATTCTATGGAGCCATTTCTAGGTGTAAATGGTGGGAATTCAGTTGAATTCTCTTATGTCTGTTTAAACAAATGTACCATATTGCTTATCATTGTTTGCCTTTGGTTTCATTATGAAGTTATTTATTTATTTATTTTTAATTCTTTTGTGTTCTGATTTGGCAGAAGTTATTGCTGATTGGGCAAAGGAAAAAGTACTTCGGAGGTTTGCTTTAATTGTGCTACTAAAAAAATCACACCATTTAATTTATAGCCATGGGAGATCAGGTGTTCCATTAGTCTTATTATAAACTAGTTTTGTAATCGTGTAATTAGAACTTGTCACATAAAACAGTCTATATGTTGAACTCCTGTACTTTTGATCCATTTTCCTTTTCAGAAGCTCTGTTTGCATTTAACTTTTTGTTAATTGCAGGGAGATTTAGTATTAACAGAATACTGGACAAACAAACCTATTATTAACTGACTTTTGGGTATTGTTAAAAAGTTCCTTAGTCATGTTAGAGCGGGTAAAGTCAAAACATGAAATGCTTGGAGAAGTTACTTATCTAAGTCTAGTTTTTTTTTCCACAGCATCCTAATGTTTCTTCTCAAATCTCCCTTAATTGGTAGCATCTTATGATTTTTTAGAGGCCTACCTGGTCTTCAGTTGCTAGAAATCACTGTTGTGTTTACTCTGTCCATCATAAATATATTATTTGAAAAATATAGCTACTGCTGAGATAAACTAATCAGTATTTTCTTTTTTGCACAGTAGCTAGACTGGGATTTAGGTCTGTTTTAAGCTTGAGAAACATTAGCATCATTGTTTAAGATGTATGAATTTCTATTTTGTGTATTTTTTTCAAAAACAACTTGGTTTTTGTTTGGGGGGTAAAAATAGCTTTCCTGCCCCGTCTTGCTTCTTTCCCAATTTGCCTTTCCTTATACACACAATTGATCCAAATATTAAACCATTTATTTTATGTAAACACAGCATTTCAAAAAATTGTGTAATGTACCATTTTGTATGCTGTAAGGTAGGCTTAACAAGATTTGTATATAACCTATAAAATTACTTTTTTAGACTTGCAAAATGAGATTATGTCTGTACAGAAAAATGGGATTGTGGCATTTTCCTCCCTTAGGTCATTTTAATTGTTGGAGTAAAAACCTAGGCTGAGAAGCTTCATCTCTTAATATTTTCATGGTTTGCCCCCTGGTAAATATAGCTTCATTTTGTACAAATGTTTATGGCCAGTCTTCTAGGGTTATTAAAGTCATCCCACTACTCTCAATTAATTCTTTGTTTTCCTTAGGAACTTTAAATCATTGATTAGAAGAACATGCATAAATTATTGTAATGCTTTTCCCCTGTTCGCTATTAGTTTTAAAGTAGAAATTCTGTGCACACATTCTTTAGGCATTATCGGTAATGCTATATACCACATTAGTTTTATAAAGTTGTTTAAATCATTGATTAGAAGAACATGCATAAATTATTGTAATGCTTTTCCCCTGTTCGCTATTTTAAAGTAGAAATTCTGTGCACACATTCTTTAGGCATTATCGGTAATGCTATATACCACATTAGTTTTATAAAGTTGGATTTTTTTTTATTATAAGTCCTAAACTAATAAAATTGTTTTCATTCTGCAAGTTTTTATTTTCCTTGACTCATAAACCGTTTATTTGGATGCAAAATACTAGTTAATAAAACATTCTCTTCTAGGTCCTCATTGCCTCTCTTCTGCACACTTTTCCTGGATATTCTTTTGTATATCCTGGTATTAAATAATATCTATATATACTAATGATTTCCAAATCAATATCTGTGGATTTCTCTCCTAAGTCCAGTGCTTATATTTTAATTACCTACAGACATCTCCATATGGATGTCCCATAGACACCTCAAATTCAGTGTGTTAGAAACTAAACTCATTATCCTTACCTCCAGTCCTACATACTGATATAATGTATATCATTTTGTGTATTTTAGTAACAAGTATAGTAGAAATTGATACCTTGAAAACTAAAATAAAGGAGCGTTACATTTGGAAGCACATGTCATTTTTGCTTTCAAAATACTATTGCTTAACTAAATAGAAATGAATGGTATGTATGTGCTCTCTTAAGTGTATAAAGAATACAGTGTTAAACAAAACAAAGAGGCAAGAGTAATCTAAAGGATTGGCCTGGACAAATTTTTTATGAACGAGGGTTAATAAGCATTTATAGCTAGAAGCAATAAAATTGTGAAAACATTTCATTAAATGGATTAAATACAAAGTTTTAAGGCATTTAGAAGTAAATACATAGACTTATACCATAGACAAAAATTCCATCATTCTTAAATATTGCTAATTTAAAATATAATAGTAATGATAGTTTTTGTACTAAAATACACATTTAGTTAATGACAAAGTCAGGAATTGGATCTGTTTTCTAATCCAGTCTTCTGTCAGAACCCCCATGTTGCTTATCCCTTCATAAATTGAAATTAATTACTTTTGGAGATTTGATTAAATGATTTGATAACTGCACTTTGTAGTATACAGGTAAATGGCTAGTTTTAGGTTAGTAGTTGAATAAGAGAACCAGCAGGTATGATATAGTAAGGAAAATGGATAAAATCTTTTGAAAAACAGAGAGAGAAATGTTATGTATTTATTATGATTCTTTTAATTTTCAGCATATGTTATGGCTTTTTCCCCCCTCTAATTACAACCTAAAAATATAAGTACATGTGAATATCAGTTTTATTGAAAATATTGAGAGTAGCTTCATATTTTAGAGTTAATATAATGTTCTGTTTTTTTTGATAGAAAAAATGAATGCACCAAATCAGCCTCCACATAAAGACACTGGAAAAACAGTGGAGAATGTGGAAGAATACAGCTATAAACAGGAGAAAAAAATCCGAGCAACTCTTAGAACAACGGAGCGTGATCATAAAAAAAATGTACAGTGCTCATTCATGTTAGACTCAGTGGGTGGGTCTTTGCCAAAAAAATCAATTCCAGATGTGGATCTCAATAAGCCTTACCTCAGCCTTGGCTGTAGCAATGCTAAGCTTCCGGTATCTGTGCCCATGCCTATAGCCAGAACTGCACGCCAGACTTCTAGGACTGACTGTCCAGCAGATCGTTTAAAGTTTTTTGAAACATTACGACTTTTGCTAAAGCTTACCTCAGTCTCAAAGAAGAAGGACAGGGAGCAAAGAGGTCAAGAAAATACATCTGCTTTCTGGTTTAACCGATCTAATGAACTGATCTGGTTAGAGCTACAAGCCTGGCATGCAGGACGGACCATTAATGACCAGGACCTCTTTTTATATACAGCCCGTCAAGCCATCCCAGATATTATCAATGAAATCCTTACTTTCAAAGTTAATTATGGGAGTTTTGCCTTTGTTAGAAATGGAGCTAGTTTTAATGGTACTTCAGTAGAAGGGCAGTGCAGAGCCCTTCAGGGAACAAAGATTGTGGGTTATTCAACATATCATGAGCATCTCCAACGCCAGAGGGTTTCATTTGAACAGGTAAAACGGATAATGGAGCTGCTAGAGTACATAGAAGCACTTTATCCATCGCTGCAGGCTCTTCAAAAGGACTATGAAAAGTATGCTGCAAAAGACTTCCAGGACAGGGTGCAGGCACTCTGTTTGTGGTTAAACATCACAAAAGACTTAAATCAGAAATTAAGGATTATGGGCACTGTTTTGGGCATCAAGAATTTATCAGACATTGGCTGGCCAGTGTTTGAAATACCTTCCCCTCGACCATCCAAAGGTAATGAGCTGGAAGATGAGGGTGATGACACAGAAGGAGAGTTGAAGGAGTTGGAAAGTAGTACAGATGAAAGTGAAGAAGAACAAATCTCTGATCCAAGGGTACAGGAAATCACACAGCCCATAGACAAATGAGCTGGAAGATGAGGGTGATGACACAGAAGGAGAGTTGAAGGAGTTGGAAAGTAGTACGGATGAAAGTGAAGAAGAACAAATCTCTGATCCAAGGGTACAGGAAATCACACAGCCCATAGACACCGGTTTTGATGTCCAATTGCAGGACTACATACCCAAGAAGCTTGAGAGGATTGAATCTGAGGATGATTCTGTTGGCTGGGGAGCACCAGACTGCAGCACAGAAGCAGGCTTTAGTAGACATTGTCTGACTTCTATTTATAGACCATTTGTAGACAAAGCACTGAAGCAAATGGGGTTAAGAAAGTTAATTTTAAGACTTCACAAGCTAATGGATGGTTCCTTGCAAAGGGCACGTATAGCACTGGTAAAGAGTGATCGTCCAGTGGAGGTAGGTTTCCAGTAGGCATTAGTATATTGTCCTTAGTCCTATTATTTATTATAAATTACAGTGTGTGTTGTGTTGATGATTATGTATTTTCATATTCCTGATACTTTAAAGACATAAGTGGCAGTTATTGTAACTTGCAGATTTAAGCATTTCTATAAAGTACTCTGATAAATGGTGAAATGGATCTGTGAAAACCATATAAAGTTTAATGAATTAAGTGCACGGTGGTATGTGTGAGAGGAAAAGCCCAACCATACAAATACAAGAGGAGAAGGACAGGCTAAGTATAAATAAAGAGGGGAGGAAGCCATAATCATGGATGACGAGAAGCGGCATATGAGTCAGTAAAAAAAAGTCAACATCATGCTCAGGTATTTTTAAATGAATATGGCATCCAAGGTCACAGATATAGTTCCTTCTCAATTCTTTGAAATGGCTAACTCCCTTTTGAGTAAACTGTCCAGTTTTGATCATGGTATTTTAAAGAGATGTGTATTACAGAGAAATTTAAGAATGATCAAAGGAAAATGGTGTACAGTACTTGGCAAGGTTAAAGTGTTCAGTGTAGATGAGAGGAGCTTAAGGGAAGTCTTGATTATTAGATACGTGTTGCAATATATGAAGATTTTTGTGTGAGGAAGGTGTCCACTAGAGGAAGTGGCTTGAAAACAGTACAAATTTGGTTTTGATAGTTTGACACCTCATAAATTCCTTATTGATAAGGGTGGTAAAACTAGAAAGGGGCATACTGTGGGATATTGTTCTTGAGTCCAGAATAGTACTTTGTGTAGTAATTTTTCTCTTCTGGCGATTTTACGTGTTTATCTAGCCAAAAGCAAAAACACCCAGATCTTTGAGATCCCTTATACCTATTTTAGTCTGTAATTCTAAGTTTTAGTAGCTCTATACATGCATATATATATACTCGTTTATTGAAGTTAAAAAAACAAATTTATTACACAATCTGGCTTGCTTTGGAGTCAGATGATAAAACAGAAGGCATTTCTTTAAGATGGGAAGCATCTAAAAAGAACCTGAGTTGGCAAGATTTTAATTCTTAGCAGGAGGAGTCAAGCATTCACAAAAATATAGCAAGATGTTTACAAAATGACCCAACACTTTGTGGCTGTATTTTAAAAGGTTAGTTTACTTCTCGTGTTATTTTGATTAGACAACTTAAATACGGATTTATCTATGTCATTTTCTTTGAACAGTACTTTAACTTTCTGTATGACATGAATGATTTTTTGTTGTACACCTTTTTATTAGAGCAAATGAGCTTTTTTCCTTTTAGTCCATGAATAACTGTAGTAAGATTTCACTATAGTGCAGGTTTCAAATAAGAGCTAAACTGTAGATATGTCATAAGGATTTGCTGTATACTTCAGATGGTGAATAACTTTACTCTGGTCTG